ACAATAAAATTGATAATCTTGTGTTATGTAATTTGTGCATAAATAAAGTGCAATTGCAGAAACTGATTCAGTTTATTATCAAACACAGACATGTTTCTTAAAATTATATTTTTAGGTTTGTGCCTAATATTCAGTGTTTTTGGTTGGCGTGATGAATATTTTCGAAAAAATAATTTAACGTTTGTGGTGGAACCCGAGGGCATTTATCGTCTTCTTGGCTACAGTCCTGCTGAGAATTTAACAGCAGGAATCATCGCAAATATCGAAGATGTGCAAACTTTGTATTTGCTAGATGATTCGATTCGGGAAATTCAACCTGGAGCTTTCCAAGACTTGCCAAAACTCAAAAACCTCTTAATACAATACAATGAGATTTCGAAGATCCCAGCAGGAATTTTCAACAATCTCCCTAAGTTGACGTATCTGGAATTAGGTGATAATGGAATCTCATATATTGACCCTCACGCTTTTGATAATTTGACTCGTTTGACCTCGATTGGTTTGGGTAACAATAAATTGGATAAAATTGATTCGCATTGGTTTGAGGACAAACCTGCCCTTACATATATCCAGCTCACCGGTAATTTAATCAAAAAGATTTCCGCCGATTCGTTTAAGAGTTTAAAAGGGCGAAAATCGATGTCTGTGTTTTTGGGAGATAATCCTGTGGAGACAATCGAAAATGATGCTCTCAAAGGATTTGAAGAAATTTCAGTTTTGTCCTTGGAAAATCTCAATCTTACGTCTCCTGAAGCTTTTCTCCAAGGTCTCAAAATCGGCACTTTAGAATTCAACAGAAATAAATTTAAATGTGTGGAAGAGGAAGCTTTTGAGCGTGTGTTTGTGGCTGATACGACTGAAATGAAGTCAAATCCGCTGGAGGCCGAGTGTTTGAACAAAATTCAACTTTGGGCCCAAAAACACAACAAAATTGTTATCTCACAGTAATTTTCATTTTACAGGTTTAAGGTTATCTTTAATTTCCATAAAATGTTATTAATTTGCTGAAACATTCTAAGAATTGCTGAAGTCTGTCTACCGGATTACCGTTTCACTATTTCCAGTTTCAAATTTCAAATGTTGTGTGTAAATAAACAAAATATATGTATTGTAGTGTTTTTCTTGTTGAAATTACCAAGAACAATATCCCCGTTTGCTACAAAAACATAATTTCAAATAATAAAAGGTAAACGTTTGAAAAATATTGATTTGTGCGGACGATATAAATCTCCGCCTCAAGGAATTGAAGAAAAATCAATAATTGGTTTGTTTATCTACAATAAAATTGATAATCTTGTGTTATGTAATTTGTGC